GCTCATCACATGTGACTTCTGCAGTCTAATTAAGGGAGGCGCTCATCACTATGATGAAAAAGCAGGGGAAAGAGGCACAGCAGGATTTCAAAGAGGAGTTAAAAGGATAATTAAGCTTGCAGGATATACCAGATAGGTTCTGAAAAAATGCAGCAAACAGACACAGTAAGTGATATTAAATATTCAGGACCTAATTACGATCCTCTCACAGCAGGCTCTGCACCACTCATGGGCGGGAAGTTGCTTGTTGGCTCTGAAGATAAGACTGATTCCCCCCCCCCCAAAGTATTTGTTCAGTCATGCGACTTGTAATTTTAAAAACATTGCTTTATAAGTCAGAGACTTTGCTTTAATTTAGTGATAATCACAGTCAGACTGCCAGTGGGGAGCTCGGCAGTGAACTTCACAGCCTCCCCTGGTGTGATCATGACCCTGCCCCCGAGCTCCTGGCAACCACAGCATAGTAAGAAAATCTGCCAGAACAATGGCAGTTTATTAGCTTTGTCTCTACAAATCCCATGTCCAACAATCACAGTCACTGTGAAAACACCGAGTCTGAGTTTTGCTGCTCTTACTCTCGTTTTACCTGTTGGCCCCGCTGTATTCACTTTGTGGCGCCTCGGAGGTCTGGCCTTTCCTGCAGCCTCACTCTCTCTTTGCTCACCTGAACCCTGCCTTTCCTGATTCCAGAATCCCAGACTAACCTCTCATGTGCAGAAGAGAAACTGAGGCAGAGGGAGGGAGAAGAAAGTAGCCCAATGTGGCACAACTGCAGCCAGGTCCCTGACCCCAAGCCAGGCTTCTGAGGCTCTGCAGGGCCCCACGGACAAGCTCAGAAGGCGGCGTCTGAAACCCTTAGGCCACGAGGCTCACTCACGAGTCTTGGACTCTCGAAATCTAGAGTTGTGCATGGCTGAATGGACTCTTAGGAAGTTGTCATTTCCCTTTCTAATCACAGATGACCACTCACTTCTGTTGGAAGCAGAAACATAGCCTGACACATTACACTGGTTTCCTTGAGCATTG